TTTTTTTATCAGCAAAAAGAATTTTTATTGATAGGAGTACAAGGGGTACCCCAAACCCATTTACATTGAGAGATACTCCGCTATTAACTTATAATTCATTGATTTATACCACAAAAATAGAGATATAAGAAGTCAAATCAAGGATTAATTCCTCAACCTACATGCTTCCATTGGTGATTTTAGCCATGAATTCCAATCAAGATTAGAACAGATACTAGCTTTAATCCAAAAAAAAGATTGGCATTTGACAAGCTCTATTACCTTTTCCATTGTAGTTGCCTCCTCTTGAAAGATTTGGCCATTTCTCCATAACCATAAGGACCACTGCCCACGCCTTCTGTAAGCATTTGCTAGATATTAAGCCAAAATGTTGTGACATATGTTTCCAGCCTACTCTTTGTGATACCACCTGTATGCCCCACCAATTGTAGCATGAAGTCCAAATCAGCCATGATTTTTCACATTCAAATAATAAATGATCTGTGGTCCCAGTCACTTGTCCACATTGTGCACAGGAGAAGTCGCTATTCTGAATTTTAACTCCTCTCCTAAACAAATTTTCCTTTGTGGGTATTCTATCTTGTAGTGCTCTCCATACAAAAGCTGTCACTTTAAGTGGGACGTGCTTATTCCAAATTGTAGTATAAACAGCAGCTTCTGCTTCCCTTGGTTTTGATGACAGCATTTTATATGCCGATCGTACTAAGTATCCTTCCTTGTGTCCATTTTTCCAAATCCAATTGTCTTGTTGCCCTTGTTTTATCTGCACTCCTTGTAATTCCAATTGAAGTTCCTGCAAAAGATTATGTTCCCATGCAAAAAGAGGCCTCCTCCATCTCCATCTCCATTGCCACTCCCTCTCACTCCAATCTCCCATATCAGAAATTAAAGCATCCTTATCCTTCGATAGCCTATATAATCTATCATATTTTTCCTTAAGAGGGCCATTCCCTACCCATATGTTATGCCAGAAAAGAGTTTCACTTCCCTCACCAACTACTTTGAACACATTCATCCTAAACCATCCCTCACTGTTGTAATTCTTATCTAGCTTCCATAAATCAGACCACCACCTTGAGCTACCCCCTCTCCATGGACCTCCCTCCCATTCATTTTTCCTATTAATATTATACTTCTCTGCTAATACCTTCCTCCACAATGAATCTTTTTCTTTTAACAACCTCCATCTCCATTTGCCTAATAGCACTCTATTGAACAATTCTACACTCCTTACACCTAGGCCTCCCTCCTCCCTCTCTCTGCAAATTTTCTCCCATGACACCCAAGCAATTTTGCGTTTATCCTCTCCCCCCCTACCCCACAAGAAATTGCGTTGAATTGAAGTAATAAGATTGGTTACCTTTTTGGGTGCCTTATAGCATGAGAAGTAATAGACCGGGATACTTGAAAGGACAGAATTTAAGAGCACAATGTGGCCTCCAAAGGATAGATTATTGCATCTCCAACTAGATAGTTTTTTCCTCAAGTAGTCAACTGTAGGTGTCCAGGTAGATACTTTTTTCTGATCTGCACCCACCAGAACTCCCAAGTATTTAAATGGTATACACAAACAAATAGATGATTTAAGTTCAAATTGATAGACAACTTGAGTATACACAAGCTAATTGATGACTCATACACGGACTAACAGATGGCTTTG